TTTGTTTCTCAATACAATTATGAAAAAAATAAATTTTACTTTCCATATAAAAAAAGAAAGAGCTTAAATGAATTTTCCATGATTTAGAATTAGTTGGTGGCAGAATAAAGAAAAGCTCCTGCATCCCATAACCTTTAAGTCTAGGGTTCTTCCCAAAATGGAACAGGTGATAATGTTTAAATATACTCCCTTCAATAGTATTTAACCATCAATAGACTTATAAATATCAATTAGGTATTATAGTTACACACATAAACACACATTTGCTTGAATTGTTCTAATTTTCATTTTGATATGTGCATAATATTGTCAACCTCTCTGAAGTTACAGTAACAAAATCCCTGGGGCTGGGAGAACATACTCATGCACAAGGGGCCTGGCCACTGTGTCGCCCCGGCTGTGAGCGTAGTAGAAGAGTGTGTAGAGGTAAGGCAGCAGAGTATAGCGGATGTTAAGGTAGTGCCTGGAGGAATTCAACAGCAAGGAGTCAGGTCCAAAGGCAGCAGGGTCTTGGTCCTTGGAACAAATAAAAGTTTGCAATTGTGAGTTTGCTAGGGGATATCAGAGGCACCCACAGAATTTCAGACCTTGTTCATCACAACCAAGAACTTTCTCTGACTAAGGTTACAACTTTTGCAGCAGAGCTGAGCAAAGGGGAACCATTTCACCAACTACATGGTCATTGTAACCTGAAACTCCACCTCACTCTCTCTTTAGAACTTCTCTGTCAGGAGACTTCTATGTGAATAACCTTGAAATAGTCCCCCTTTGCCTCACATAAAATGAGTGATTCAGAAAATGTTCATAAATGGAATACTTTTGACTGACTTGCCATTTCCTAACGAAAAGGCTCAACAAGGTATTTTATGAAATAACACAGGTCCTGTGTAATTGCAAATGATGGGCAAATGAGTATAAGTGAAGCATAGTGTAAGCGGTTGGCCCAGATTTCTTGGCGCAAATGCAGTAGCTCCATCTTAACACATGCCCCAATTTATTCGGATTATATTTTCTGAGAGCTTTACCTTGAAGCCTTGGCCATTGTGATTTCTGGAAAATGGATAAAAAGCTCCCAGCTGCATCCACCGCCTGCAAAGCTCCTCAGAGGTATCCAAGTCAAAGCCACAGATGTCTGCACCCACCTGGAAAGGCAAACAGATGGCATGTACCCCTCACTCCCTCTGTGCTCCTTCACTTCCTCCAGGGACCTCTCCACTGAACTTTGCTAAAACCTCTTCCTGAGAAGCCTTGCATAGGGTGATCAAAGCTGGATAATACCCAACACCCACACTTCACTGCCAGGTGAGTTATTCAGCCTCTCTGGGCAGAAGTTACCTCATGTCCTGAAAGTGAGTACAATAGTTTTTTTGAGGAACAGTAACTAATAATTGCTGGTGTCATTAGCTTACCAAACCAGTATCAGAGTTATTTTTTAAAGTTCATTATGTCACTCATCCATATAAAAATCTCTCCAGAACTTTCTTGCAGCTTATTCTATTAGCTCTTCCAGGTTTTTGAAACTAGCAGTTAATTGGTAGGATTTGCACCCTGACTAACTATACATGCTGATACCTGTGAGTCAAGCAACTGCACTGAAGATAGCAATGTGTAACAGAAGGGTCACGCTTGAAATACCTGTCATTCTGCTCTTCTAAATATGTACTTCTTGTCATGACATACCGATTATGATCATAAGTAAAAGGTTTTTTAAAAAATAGGTAATACAACTCTTGTTGCATAGGTCCTGCTTTACCTTGGTCTTAACCATCCAGTAGAAAAGTATGAAGTCGAAATATAAGAAATAAAGCCATGCTGTTAAGTTGAGCTGTGGGGGACTCAGGTCAATAATTTCTGACATTGCCAGTTAAACAAAAGACCCAATGCTATTATGGGCTACTGGACTCTTTTAGAATATTTTGCTGAGTTTACACACCTATAATATTCAATAATGGAACTTAGAAAAAATGGGGTATACCGATGAATGTCCATTTTGTATCTGTGTATTCAAAGAGGTTGGGATAGATATATAGTTGCATTCTCTTAATGAATAGAATGATTTGTTCTAATGGTGTTTGTAAATAGGATCACAAGTCCGCATCTTGTACAGCAATTAACCACTAAGAAGAATATATGCAGTGTATTATTTGTTGAAACTGTCCTTCTGATTTGATTTGAAACTGTCTCATTGGTAAATAGGATATCAAGTCCACATCTTGTACAGCAATTAACCACTAAGAAGAATATATGCAGTGTATTATTTGTTGAAACTGTCCTTCTGATTTGATTTGAAACTGTCTCATTGCTATCTGTTTGTCAATAAAACTTTGAAAAAATAAAAAAATAAAAAATAAAAAAATAAAAAATAAAAAATAGGTAATAAATGAAAAAAAGACACAAGAAAAAGAAAAAAAAAGTCACAGAACTGTCCTGCTACAATGTTGTGTATAGTTAGATCTCTAACTTTTTCTGTAAAAAATATGTAATTGCTTATTCATATTCTTTAAATATTTTCATTTTTTAAATTTTTATCTCCATATTCTGTAGGGACTTAATGTTTAACATATCAATACTTGATGGAAAATACCTGTTCCATGTTATGCCTAAGATGTTTCATATTCAGACAGACAGTGAAGTTAAACCCAACTGCATAAGATGTAGGGTAATAATAAGCTTCTCTTCTGGAGGGTTAACAACCTAAGTTTGCAGACCAAAAATTAGAGAAATAGAAGGGCTGCACGGACAGTCAACAATTTGACCATAGCTTTTCAAGGTCAGTGAAGACTCAGAACATAGGAGAACCTATATTGTAACATCATAGAACTCAGTTGGTCCCAAATTTTCTGATCAAGGAGATTATGGGGTCACAGAGCAATGTGATCAATGACATAGAGTGTGCCTAAGGAGAGTCATCTGGAGAGAAAACATTCTCTCAGGCTTTCACAGAGAGCAAAATGGTCAAGCAATGGCTGTGACTCATCCACATGGCTGACACTGACAAAGGATCTGCAAACTGCGGTACAGGGTTACAGGATAAATCCTGAGGGGACTTGACTGACCTTACCAGATACAAAAGTTACATTTCTTGTTATACAGGTCTTGCTTTATCTTGGTCTTAACCATCTAGTAGAAAAGTATAAAAATGAGGCATATAAAATAAAGCCATATTAATATGCTGAGCTGTGAAAGGCTCAAGTCAACAACTTCTGTGGATAACCCACTACTATCATAGACTGCTGGACTGTGTTGGATTGTTTTGCTGAATTCACGCACCTATAGTATTTAGATGCCAATGGAATACCCATTTCTGACAGGACTAAACAGAAAAAGGCGATACAAAGGAAGGACCATTTTGTATCTGTATATGCAGAATAGTTAGGATAGATATACAGCTACTTTTGCTTAATTCAATAAGAAGAATGATTTGTACTAATAGTGTTTGGACAGAATATTCTGTCTGCATCTTGTACTATGAATGACCACTAAGAAGATAACAATGTACAATGTATTAATTATTGAAACTGTCCTATTAATCAGTTTTGAAACTATCTCATTGATATTTATTTCTCAATAAAATAAAATAAATTTTTTTAAAAAAAAAACCTGCTTCCACCCTACCTCTCCAGCATCATTCCCATTTTAGTGCTACCCATCCACCGGTCCTTCCAGACACGCCAAGTGTCCACCTTGTACTATTTTTGCTGGCATTTCTTTCTCAGTTTTAAATGAGCTTCTTCCCACCCTGGTCATTTTTCAATTTCAACTCAAGCAGCTTCCTTCCTATGAAGTTTCTCCTGGTTCCCTCTGTCCCTCATAGTCCTATCAGAGTTATTCTCATTCTTAGGGTCTCCCCTCAAAGTCCCCCTACAGTTAATGCATATCTTCCTATAGGCCACCTTATAGCCTGTGGTATTTGTTGACAATCTATGTCTCCTTTTATCAAACTGTAAATCTCCCAGAAAATTAAGGGGGTGTGTTTTTCTGTGTTCATACTTTTCAGCACGCTCACCTTGCTTACTTAGTTCAGCACCTTGAACACAATAGGAGGCCAATGAATATATGCATACTGACTTTAACTAAAAGATGCTAAAGTTTCTCAAGTGCTGACAATGCTATCTTTCTTCAAATGGGCGCTGGATTCACAGGTGTTTTCCATATATGACATTCATCTGCCATAGATAAAGGATCTGTGTACTTTTCTGTATACTCATATATTTTAATAGAAAGAAATATTCTAGGGATATCAAGATTTGTTCCTCTATCTTCACAAGACAATACAGAAAAGGACATTGCAGTATCAGAGCCTTATTGATATTGAATTACATGCTCTCTAGATGTTAAATCCCATCTTTCCTGAATGATGCTATCTAGGAATTGAAATTCACAAGAGGTTGATACAGAGGCTCACCATTGGGATACCAAAGAGATTGAACTCAAGCATTCCAGGGATGGACCACCGAAGGTCGTTCCAGGTGGCCGCGTTGTCGCCTAACCAATGGGCTGCAAACTTGCCAGATCCCGCGAAGGTAGAACGGGTTATGATGAGACTTCTCTTGCCTGGAAACACAGTCTTGACAGCTCTAGAAAGGGAGAGAGATCTAGAGAGTCAGTCTGTGATCTTAGCTGGTCTCACCCGAAAGGATACACCAATAATGCTGAAGATATTAAAAACAAATGAATACCCCATTCTTTTTATCTCATTCTCTCCCAAGTGGGTTAGTGACTGTTAGGAGCAGTCTGCACCATTAAGTGTGCTCATATTTTGCTTTTTTTGGGCACTCTGTTAATGCCATAATTGCCAAGAAGTTCAAAAGCAGCCTTAAAAATGTTAGTAACTAGAGGTATACAATTTTTCTAGAATGAAGGTGAGATTTAACTTTTCATAGATGTATTTATATTAATCTTTCATATCATGAGACCTTAGACACACATAAAAATGAACCTCCAAATAGCCTTTTCAAGTTAAATTCTTTCTAACATTGGTAATAATTTTATAATAAGAAATCTTTGATAAAGAAAATATATTTTAAAATTATATATGCATGAGTGTACTTTATATAATACACATTATTTATACTTTTAAGCTACATGTCCATCTGTGTGTATATACAAGTACAATCTTCTAGAGGGTTGTAGATATAGCTAGTGGCAGGTATCTTTTCCTTGCTATAGAACTTCAATTCCATACACAGGTAAAAGAACACTATAAAATAATGCTGAACTGAAATGTAAAATCCTAAAGCACACAGGCATCTGGGAGCTATTTGACCCTTTCTGTTGTTCTTCACCAAGGGTACAAAAAGGTAAAATACACAAGCCTTAGACTCAGAGAAAAGGGGCTAAATTTTGTTCAATTATTGGTTATTTCACTTAGGAATATTTTTTAACTTCTTTTTCCTTCTTCCAACTAATCCACTCATTTGTGCATATGTTTGTTCTTGGCTTGACGTCTTCCATAAATATATATTGGACCCCTCCTTCCTTGGGCCAGGCAGTTTCTTCATTAATTCAATAATAATCATATTTGTGTGACTTATAACAAATACTGTACATGAGCCACTCGTCATCTAGCATTCCCATAACTCAGCCATGAATGTGCCCATAGAAACAGTGATGTAGGATCTCACTCTGCCGTGGCGATGGCCATGGAGTAGCCATACAGGTTGTGGACATCATACTGCTGGCCCCAGTGCTGCACTGCATCCATGCAGAGACTCTTGCAGAACAGGTACCCATCTAGAACTCCTGAAGCAAAGGACAATCAGTGAGTGGGAGCACAAGATGCTCTATTCCTACTCCTTGCCTGTAGGAAAGGCACTCACTGTGGCCATCCTGTGAGGGGTCATCCTGCTTTCTCATTCTCAGACACTTTTATTTGAAACAGTTTCTTGAACATAGAAATAAATTGTGCTGACCCCCACACCCATGCACCACTGCTCTGACCAGAGGCAGGCATCCAGAAGCAGGGGAATCCAGCTAGTCTGAGGTCTTATCTGAATTCTTTAAGCTAAGTGAAGTCATCCAAGAATAGAAGTATTGTACGAAAGTGTAATTTCTGACTCCTTTCCCCTGACCATACATTATAAAAAACTAATTTTCAATCTTGCTTTCATCCATCTATTCTATTCCAATTGCATCCCTCTGATTCAGACCCAAATCACCTCTGGGCCTTGACAGCTTCTTAGTGATTTATTTATTTCTGATCTACCTTATCTTCTAATTCATACTACATATTATTGTCAGATCAATACTCTTTAAACCATTTGACTACTGTACTTTCTCTAACTAAAACATATTTAACTTCTGTCACTGAAAAGTTAAAGTACAAACTCATTAGCCTCCCACTCAAACACCTCAGTATTTGATTCTGACCTATTCTGCCCCAATCTTCTAGTTTCCCACAGGACTGAAATCACTACAAGGTGTTACGGTTCTGGTACCTTCTTTACTTTCTCAGTTGAGATACAATTTATTCTTTCTTTTTTATTAGATAGAGTCTCACTATGTCATACAAACTGGCATTGAACCCACTATGTAGCCCAGGCTGGCCTCAAACTCATTGGGATCCTCATGCCTCAGTCTAACCAAAGTGTCAGGATTACAGGTGTGTACCACCATTCCAGGCATTCAATTTGTTCTTGAACCTATAGCCTTCTTCAAACTACAACCAGAGAGATAGTGTTGCTCAAAATTCAATCAAATCATGGAGCAACACTTTACCTGACCTCCCTAGCCATAGCTTCTGGCTTTAACTGTGTGGTCTGCGTCTGTCCTGCAAACTGTAGACATCATTAGACTTCACCCTCACCTCAACACCAGTGTCTTGCTGTGTACTTATGAGTGACACAGTGTGTGGCCCCGTGCTGGCCCTGAAACCAGGCATGGTGGCACATGCCTATAATTCCAGTACTGGGGAGGCTGAGGCAGGAGCATCATAAGTCTGAACTGTGAAGTGAGACCCTGTACTCAATAAATAAATAAATTTAAAAAAAAAGAGTGGCACACTTGCCTAGCAAGGACAAGGGCCTGAGTTCAAGCCCTAGTTCCGCAAAAAAAAAAAAAAAAAAAAAAAGTGGTGCAAAACAACCACTGGCCTCTGTCTTCTACCCATGTCCTCTCTAGATGTTCCATTGGAAATACTTGGCACTGCAGACAAAGAGCTGGATTGACCATTTTGAATTGATGCCTCTGTATGGTGCTTCTATCTTCTTTCCTAGTTTTCTTTATATAGTACTCTTATTTCTCTTTCCTTGTGAATGCCTATGTATACTTGAAAGATTGTTCAGATCTGTTCTTATGAATTTATGATACCAAACATGCATTAGTTCTTCAACCCGGCTGACCAGGAAGACTTACGGGGAGTGAATGGTGGATAATTCAGATTGCTTGTAGAACAGCCTGAGACTGAACCATCAACAAAGTTGGAGACTTCATTCATATCCTACAGGACAAAGACCAAAAAGTAATTAAGAAAATAACATGTTCTTTGATGTCTTTTTCTTAGGATTCAAAAAAATTACTTTAGATCTTTCTTAAAATGAATAATTGTATACATGAAACAGAACAGACATTACTGACCTATCTACTCACTAAAGACTTCAAGAAAAAGTTCTTAGAATCCCTTCAAATATATATATGATATATATATATATCATGTATATATGTGAAATCAGTAAACATGAATAGCTTTTAACTATATTAGGCAAAAATTCAATGTATATGATGACACATACATCAACTTATAGACTATATAGATCCAAATATAATTAAGAATATATATATACATATAACTCTTAAGTGAAATAAATCAGACCCATGTGTGCAAACATCATATTATCTCCTTAGTGTGAGACCTAAAAGAAAAAACAAAATCTGAAGGGTACAATAGATACTGGGAAGAGAGAATGAACCTGGTCAAAAGGAAAGAATTACTGAATTGAGGTGAAGGACAGAAGAGGGAGTGGGGGAAAGAGATATATCTATGTATGTAAGCAAGACACTTCGGACAACTGTACTGTGCATTTCTGCTGGTCTTTGGAAAGGAGCAGTTGGTGCTTAATTTGATTTTTCTCTTTTTTTCAATTATTTGACCTTTTTCTCCTCTTAATTTCTTATGTATTTCTTTTTTTCTTTCTCCTTTCAACTTTGCATGCATATATCTGGTAATATGAACAACTAATTTGAAGACAGCCCTATGCATTAGAACAAATACTGTGAAATTCATATTATTTTGTTTAGGGAAATTCTGTATCATACTATTTTGTAGTCTTTTTTAAAAATAAAAATTAAAAAAGAAATATATAAATGTATACATCTATCAAGAAAGAGATAGTGCAAGCATATGGCAAGTTGTGAAAATATAAAATCTAGAAAGATCCACATCAAAATATTAATAGTAGATAGTCTTGTTACTGTCATTTATAGGGTGCTTGCTTCCCTTTTTCAGCTCTTGGCATGGTTATGGTTTGAATTTTCTTCAGTGCTCTTATAAATTGAAATTTTCAACTCTAGAGCTTCTTAAGTTTTTCTCAATATCAGTGGGCTTGCATTTGTTTTCATTTGGAAATGAGAGACATTCTATGAGCCACCTCTTCTTAGAACCGATGCAGCTCTGGGTGCATCTGGGTTCTTTGGCTCTGATACACTTGTCCAATACAGCCAAATGAAAGAACCTGAACCAACAACTGGTCGACTCATGTACTTGATGACAATGTAAGGGGTGTATCAGCTAATTTGACATCAGTTCATTTTGAAAAAATTTCCTGAGTTCTCTCCAGCTCTGACATGATTTTGATTCTAACTTCATGTTTTGGTAGGATTATCTGAATAAGGAGCACTAATAATTTCTGTCATATTTGTTCTCTTCTTGTTCTCCTCATGTCCCATGACTCAAAGACATAGACACAGACAAACATATAGCCACAGACAGACACAGACATAGATGTGGGCAGATACTGACATAGATATACTGCATAGACATAGATACACTGACATAACATATTATAACTGTTGTCAGCTAAGAATCAGTGTTAACTCACAATCCAGATTCCATCAAACTCCACTTGACTGTAAAAAGTCTCAAATTCCTTTGTCCACCAAACAGCACAGTTGGGATTGGTGTAATCAGGAAACACAGTTTTTCCAGGCCAGACCTGTGGAAGAAAAATGAAAAACACCACTAAGAATAAATTAAATGAATATAAAATTGAGTAAAGAACTGTGCATAGAGAGTACTAATTTATTCGTGGAAGAACTGTACACAGAAAGCATTAATTTATTCATGGATACAGAAGTGGCCAGGCTCAGGTCTTATTAAATTAGGAAGGTAAATCACTCAGGATATGGAATACCAAAAGTAAAGATGAGGAGATTACAGAAAAATACTTGATGTAAATGTTTTTGTTTTGTTTTTCACCACATCCTCAGCCACCAGCACCACCACCACCAACAACAACAATCTATTTTAATTTTGAGACAGGGTCTTGCTCAGTTGCCCAGGATGGCTTCAACTTGTGATCTTTCTGCTTCAGCCTACCAGAGTTCTGGGATTACAGACCTGTACCACTGCACACACATGAAAACTATTTTTTTTAAAGTTAAGTCCTTATTAAATAAAAAGCCTTGTTTGATTTATTAATCTTTGACTCTAGCTTTTCCTCCTTATCACTTTCCTTAGTTTTACTTCTAGAAATAGTGAGAGAGCACTCTAAATTTCAAAAGGTCCATTACAATCTGTTTTTCTCTCTTCCTTCCCTGTCCAACTTCCTTCAGATATCAACTCCACAAAGGTTATCAGAGATACTAGAAGTGAACCAACAAGGTCAAATAGAACTTGAGAAACAAGAGGTCAAACTTAATAAGCACTGAAAAAAACCTGAGTAAGAAAGAGACATGAAATGTTCCCACTGGATTTACCAAGCAGGCAGTAACTGGTGCCATTTACCAGAGCAGTATCAGTAAAACTATAGGAAAGAAAGGAGATTCAGTCAACTGAAGAGGCGACTGGACGTGTGGAGGTGCATGTTCATTGTGATGGCTCTTGTTTATGGAAACTGGCTGTGAAAGGCATGGAAGCAGATGTGATGGCACATGTGAAGGATGGCTGGTGGGCACATGGGGATGAAAGAGCAAAGAAAAACTTATCTTCAGCACACAAGACACATCCGAAAATGGACAGGACAATCACACACACACACACACACACACACACACACACACACACACACAGAGCTTCTCCTCCACAGGGCTCAGCTTCCCAATTACATTACCTCCCCAATGACCGGATTCATGCCATCTGAACTAGTCACCCATATGTTCATTGCTGAGCCCCGGTCATATGGGCCATAGGGATTACTTGAGGAAGAGTTGTTAGAGATGGCTGGATCCTAAGAAGGGTAAAAACACAAAGAAGAAAGGAAACTGAGAATTTCAGGACTCAAGAGACAGGTGTGGTTGCCATGACAAAAAACAGTACATATCTGACTTGAAAGAAAAAGAGGCTAACACATACCACAATGATGACAAGTTTCTGCCCATTACTGTGTAAGTCATTAACAAAATCAGGGAAACCTCCATAGTTCACTGGATCATAAGTGAAGTCCTTCCTCTCATCCATATAATCAATATCCCCATGTTGAACATCCTGGAGGAAGACACAGTATGGACAAGTTAACACCTTGACTTTGCCTGGGAAAAGGAGCTAGGCTCAATTCTGGGCTAGGGTCAAGCAGAGTTCTCAAACAGTCCCAGGCATCTAAACATTTCTTTTCTCAGGGAAATTTAAAAAAAAAAAAAAAAAAAGACCCTGGATCCACCCCTGAAATCAAGTTATCTGGATCATTTATAGCAATCACTAAAGTCATCAAGTAAATCTCACCCTATCCACAAGATAAAGGAAGGAGGGGTCTCTTTCTCTCTCTTGCTGCCTTTCTCTCTCTTTACTGCCTCACAATTTGTTTTGTTATTTCTCTTCTATTTCAAGTGTTTGGTGTTTATCACTTCCTAATTTTACCTGTGGACCCAGAATGAAATTTACTGTAAGGCCCAGCTGTCTACCTCCAAGGGAATGGGTTGCAGAAAAGAAGGTTATCCTTTGTATCTCTTCTACACCTCACTGTCCTTTAGAACTACCACTGTAATAGGCACATTCAAATTTTGCCACTCAAAGCATAGAAATGTGATCTAAAAATATGGTGGTTGTTTAAATTTTTAAAAATTATCAGAATAAAAGATACATTGCCATTAATATCTCTCAAAATATCTCCTCACTTCAGAGAGGTGACTTTGGGGAAGAGCCAAAAGCCCCATGGTGTCAGAATCAGTGAATGCAGTGAATGAGGATACACAGCAGTGTGTTTACAAGCTTGTCTTCATGTTGGATGGTGCTCAGTGGCAGCATGCATTCTCATTTTGAGCACACCTTGTAAAGACACTCAGGGAAGAGGACTTCCAGAACTGCTCTAGAAAGTGGCAAGAATAATGGGATAGGGGTATTACAAGGAGAGTACTTTAAGGGAGATGAATGGCAACATGTCCTTAACTGTAATATATTTTTAATTTATTTACTGCATTTTTATCATCCCTCACATTTTATTATTGCATGTATGTACTGAGTACTTCTGTCCACTTATCTCGGCAGAACTTAACACCTATACTCAGTTAACAGTTTGTAGTTCTAGGCTTCAATGCTCCCTCTCACATCTCATTCTCTTGTATACCAAAAAAGCCCACTTTATTGATTTCCTAGATCATCTAAGAAGGAAATGGCTGTTAATATGTAAGAAGAATGACATAAAAAGTACAGCGTGACTATGATGTTAAGATCTGAGAATGAAAAATAGTTCCTTTGGTTGTCTAGTATTAAACATGATTCATGATGTTAAACATGGTTCTAATACTAGAATGGAATTTGGTGGATGGGTAAAAGCAGCATGCACATCACACTTGCCACAGTGTTCACCCCACATTGGCTCACAGGAGAGCCATTCCCACCCCTAAATATAGAATACTCCTGGAGGCTGGTTGGCCAGTAGGCCGGGCCCTACTGTGAGCGACTCCATTTTAGAATTCAGTAGTTTGTCCTGAGTGCGAGTGCTAAGGCAGAATGTCTGGGTAACACCTCTGTGAAAACATAACCAGCAGACAGTGGATACATCAGAATTGTGGAGAACAACCCCTAGCTGCATAGCACAGTCAGAAGTCATAAACTGACAGATAAATTAATCTTGCTAGTAAAAAATTATCATCTGTGCATTTATTGAATTAAATCAGGGGCACATTATGTATCAAAGCCATATTATAGAAAACTAGACCCTTGAGCTTATCAGACACACCAGAAAAACAGATGGTGCAACCCTTCACTTGCATCATATAAAGGAGGGGCACACAACCTAAGGATCTGGACACATGCACCAGTCATCTTACGCAACACGAGGTCCCAGCTCTCTGTCCCCTGGCTTTTGCTCAGCTCCACCTCCCTACTAGGACATGGCTCATTCCACACTGCCTGCTGCCCAGATGGGCTCCGCACAAGTTGTGTGCTGGTTAATGGCTCAGCAGGCCCTTCCACATGCTCTGCCAGGTTTTCCGTTTTATCTGGACAGCAGCATTTGTTTTTAGTTCTGCCTCTTTGAATCTTGTGGCTACTATTAATCCGTATCTAGCCTTTCCACAACCTATATATTACTGGGTAAACTGTGATGTATGACTCGACTATTAGAGATACTAGTAACTAAGATTGGATGCAATAAAGGAATGTGTGTTCTGCTAATGGCTATCAAGCAAAATCTAGACAGTCAGATAATTAAAACTGACAAAATTGCTTATGAATTTATGCTTATGAAATTATTTTGTGGATTTATTGTGATTCAATAAACTGACATCATGGAAAGACACAAAAGTGTCCAGTCTATGATGATGGCATATCCTGCTTACAAAGGCTGGAGAATGAAGAAGAGTGGGACCTGCAGCCAAGCTGGAACGAGTCACCCACCCAGATGTCTTCAGCCTCAAATCACTCTTTTACACTTCAATTTTATAGACTTTCTAAATCCCGATTACAAAATGTCAACTGAAGTTATATCTCAAATAGACATAGCAACACTACACAGAAAAGCGAACTCTTTACTGTCAATTCAATAGCAATGAAAATAACAATGCAAAAACAAACTAAAACTTGCTACTTGAGTCTTTAACCCATTTAATTATGTAATGTAAATTCTGTCATCAGCTGGATGCTACTCGGTCTCAGCCAAGGTATTTCCCCTCACTCAGCTTCAGTTTTTTATCTGTGCAAAAAGTTGTAAACCTAGATGACTGAAGCTTGCACCCATCAATTTTGGCCTGAGTCCTTGAGGCCTAGTATTACTTCTCTTTAAATATAGGTTGGATGCATAACTGGCAAGGGGCAGAGAAATCAGGAATCTGCATTATTCATTACCTGAGATGAAAGATAAAAATCAAGCTCAACCCAGAACTCTGGAGGAATTCTAAATACACAATATCACATTTAGGCCAATGCCTTCTTGATGCTGTTGAGTCAAAGCAATCCAAGGATTAAAAAAGTGTAATCTAAGCTGGAGAGAGGACTAGGTACTAAAATGAAAACATGTTATTTAAAATGTTGTAAATAACATAAGCATTTTAAAAAATCTTACTGTTAAAACATGATATGAAAAATAAGAATAAAAATAGGTTGTCTCTTCGTTTGCAGTGGTAATCTCTACCATGTCCCTCTAGAAAGAACTGGGGCCCCTTGAAAGCATGGATGGTCCAGTAAGTACAGCTAACCATCTAAATGTATAAAAGCTTTTTACTACAAAAAAGAACCTGGGGAGAGAAAATACAAACAATAGCTCTTGTTCTTCCAGGGAATTTCTTTACTTTTCTTTTTTTTAATTTTTTTTAAAGCTGTTTTACAGCCCCACTTACATAGGGGAGTTGCGCTGCCCGGTTTCTGTTGACAACTTCCTTCATCTTGTCCAGTGTTCCATAATCATACCGACTGAGGTGAAACCCTAGTGACCAATATGAAGGCAGGGCTGGCCGGCCAATGAGCTACAAGAAATATGTGACAAGAGAGTTAGCAGCAGTGTTCCTTTTTTAACTTTTCTAAGTACTGGTTTTGAGGCACGAGAGATAGTTTCTTTGCCAATATACTGATTCATTACTGTCACAAAGTATGTCTTCCAGCACCTTTATGAATTTTTGAGGTTGAGACTTTATCTTGGGCAGCTTTATAATCTTATACCTCTTTTAAACATAAAAATGCTACCTGGAAAGTTTCAACTGTATACATGAAATCTCAAATTTGCATACATCAAAACCAAATTTTATTTTATTTTTTGTATTTTAGGGAAGGGTTGACAGGGTGTTCAGGGTCTCACTACTAGAACAAACTTGTACTGATCCACCTATTTACAGAACCGGGATTACAGGCACACGCTACCACACCCAGTCTCAATTGTCATCTCAGCATGCACCGGGTGCAGGGCCAGTAGGGCAGGCCTGGGGATCGAATCCCAGCCCTTGCACCTGCTTGCAAGTGCTTTAATCTGCTGAGCTATTTGGCTGGCCCTGAAAACCAAATTTTAGCATCTTGAATTTGTAATGGAGTTTTGTGGCTTACACCTCCATGTTATATTTACTTTTCTTTAATGCTTTCTATGTAGGATTTCCTTGTTCATAATCATGAAATCATAAGTTTACCTCTAGATATTCTCGAACAACTTGCTCTGGAGTGTTTCCCAAGAACACATAGAAGTCAAGAATACCCCCGATGGTGCGGTAAGTGATTGCTGGGGCTGGTTGGAGGGCAACCTCTTCAAAGGTTTAAAAAAGGCAAGAAAATAATTAAAATTTAGTCTAAAGTAACAGCTACAAAGTTCTAGACCAGAAGATCACATATATCTGATAATTAATGTGCTTACTAATTCCTAACATTTTGTGTACAAAGGGACAAGTTCTAATGAACAAAATACACCCTCACTGCACATGGGAATGAAGATATTTGGTGGTAAAGTTCAATAGCATATGACTGGAAGGTCTCAGCTCCTCATGCCAGGATCTTGGCTCTGGTGAAAGAGCTTCCAGTCTTACAAAGACATCCAGAATAAACCACTGTAGCACTAAAGTCATTTGGGCTGAAGTCTTTGTTCCTGGTATCCCTGCTCTGCCTAAAGGTAGAGCCTCCCAAAATAATTCTGTGGCCATGAATCTCCTCTGCTGGAGCAACTCTAATACCCTCTGAGCCAAGGAGCACCAACAGACATTGGCTAAGACATCACATCTCTCTTAAGGGCCCATTTATCTTCCCAAAAAGTCACCGGCTTTCCCATCTTTCCCTCCTACACTTTCATGGATTAAGACAGCAAGACTGCTTTGAATCAAAACAATCTAATCAAGAATATTGAGAGTGAGAAATATCCCCGTTGGTAAATATTACAATGCTGTACTACCTAAGGCCCACACTCTCGCCATCCCTTTCAACTGCTCACCACTGAGCATTCCTGTGTTTATGCACTTTGCATGTGTGAACAGACTGTCTTCACCTTGCTGATCTTTCTTTCTGTCAGTTTAGTTTGGGGGCCCCAAGAATTAAATCTAAGAAGGTGGAAGAAAATTTTCTTCTCTCTTTCACAACCACACACCATGCTGTCCTTGCCACAATTACTGCAAGGACATAATCCACCATGAAGGACTAATTTAACTGAGTCTCACATCAAACAAGAGGCAAACTAAAAATGCCAAAGATTATCTCATAAGTTCAAAATCCTTTAAGCTCCAGTCACCATATTCACAAGTTGCCTTTTAGGTTTCGTTTCTATTTAAGGATGAAAGAAATGATTCTCTTTAAGGATGATTGTCCCACTGTTTAAGGCTTAAGATAGCCCTTTCCTGTCTTCTACTCTGAGACATTTTCTACCAGCTGGGAAGGGCTAAATATCTTAATTATGCAATAGAAAGCACTCCAAAGGAGGTGACCTGATAAAGTGAAATGAGAAACTAAGAGCAAATCCCTTACAGCTGGCTGCCATGGGTCACCAGGTAATGAAGTATGGATGAAACAATAGAGAACACAGAAGGCTCTAGGTGAGGGCTCAATTATCCTTAAAGAGATTTATTCCATTTGTCATCTTATTATAAAAACAGGACTTAAAAATTGTTCTTGTGCTTGTCTTTTGCATGACCAATTCTTCAGTATTTTACCCATGGCATTGCTGTTCATCAGAAACACGCCAAAGGATAATCCGCTGGCATCTTCGAGGCACAAGAAGAATGTCTGAGCACCATACAAGTTCGTTCCAGCCTACAGAAAGAAGATTAAAAACCAGAAATGTACATCCAAGTGCATAAAGATAATCTAAAAAACAAAATGCTGTGGCCAAGCAGCTTAAACATCACACTGCTGGACTAGCCTAAGAAGTCAGTCTTGCTCACATGAGGAAATTCATAGTCACTGCAGAGATAATTTTTTTTTTTTTTTTTTTTTTTTTTTTTGGTTTTTGGTACCAGGGATCACACTCAGGACCTTGCACTTTCTAGGCAGGAGCTTATACCGCTGAGCCATCTGCCCAGCACAAATAAATTTTAAAAGAGGGGCTCTCTCTCTCTCTCTCTCTCTCTCTCTCTCTCTCTCTCTCTCTCTCTCTGATTGATATAAACCAAGGGACTGGTATTTTCTTACATAACGAATCTGCTGTGCTGATTTATGGGATAACAATGTGAAGGTTGTGGTATTTGTTAGAAGGCAGGGAGATAAGTATTGGAGTCATAATTTTAAAAGGCCTCCTCTCAAAAAGGCCTGGTTTCCCCTGACTTAGCCTCATCTGTTCTAATAAGTATTGATCTGAACCTGGAACTAAATGGAGCTCTTGTTTAGTCTAGAATCCTAGACTCCAGAACAATTAAATCAGCATCTCTAGGGACAGAAACAGACACTGTTATTTGTTCTTAATTTCCCCCAGACAATCCCAGTGTGAAGTCACATTCGATAATTGCTGCTCTAGAACAGTGTTTCTTGGAGTGTGGTGTATGGACAGCTTATGTGGGTTTCTTGGGTAAGTATGGACTCTAATTCCATAGATGATGGGAAGACTGCAAGCCCAGGTCTCCCAGAGAGCAGTTCTCCAGATGGACATGTGCAGTGGGAAGGTCTGCTATCTTAACTCAAAGATCAGTAGCTGTCCCTGGACCAGATGCTCTGGCTCAGCGCCTTCTCTGTTCTTCTGATGAGCATCTGTATAACAGACAGTATGGGTTTCAAGGGAGACAAAGTAGGAATTAGGTCTTTGACCTGGCGATATTAATTTGGCCTTTCTGAGCCTCAGTTTTGTCTGTTCAATGAAGAAATTATTCTTACTTTTTCTGTCATCTTTTGCTAAATAAAAATACATAAACAGAGTTGCTAAGTTATTTCTGTAATCTCATTTCATTGTTATGCAGAAAAGCTCCTGAATAACATTGCTGAGGAAATAAGAAAACACTCTAAAGTTCTATCAGTCAAAACAACAGAGATAAAAATAAGCAAAATAGCAACAACAACAACAAAACTGTCTATTGTTTCAGTACACCAATCATTCATTATACAAAAATAACTAATACATTCCTTTGGTCTGGGACCTTATTCTTTCTTCCTGACAAATCTGACAATTCCATGATTTTTAAAAATTAATGTAAGAATAAGATCATAATCAACTACTGTTCGAGCACAATTTTTATTAACATTTTCTCCACAATTGGTAAGTTCAGAAAGAAAAAGTGACTTAAAGGAGTTGGCATTTAGTGAGAAAGCTCTATGTGACAGACATTCTTGTAGGAACTCTAGAGGTCCTAATCATGACCCCATGAGACAAGTCTATCATCCCACCTTATATAGGAGGAACTGAAAACACAGAGAGGAAAGTAAGGGGCTCAGAGCCACATAGCTGTTAAGTAAGAGACAGAACTCAAATTCAAGTAGTCTGACCCTGGTGTGACTCCTATCTACTGAACTGTGCTGCTAGTAGTGACCTTCAAGAATGAGTGTGAGTCACTGAGTGGAAAGGCCCTCCTGAAGCTCACCCCGTTAGGAGTAGTGTCCCTGGTAAATATGGGCCACGTCCTCCAATTCATGTCGTGCCTGTACTGTTGGTGCACATGTTCCCCCAGACCGTACACATTTGCACTTGGCAGGCGGATCGAAAGCTGCAGGAACTGATCTGCAAACAGCAGGGGCCCAATGCTGGAGTCAAACCTAGACAGGCGAGAAACAAAGGAATGAGTCAGCAGGGGCAGTGGGGAGAACATAAGTGCTCCAAAAGGTAACCTCGAGTTCTCAATGGCTTAATCCCATTTGCTCTCCTGTAACATTTTGCAGTGACTACCAAGAGATAAGACTCCTACAGGGCAGGTAACATGTAATACTTCTCATATTTGTCCCTCAGACACTTTCCCACGTAACCAGAGCACTATACTTACATGATCACAGATTGTCCAGTAAGTAGTAGCATAGGTAGAAAATGAAAAGAAAATGTGATTGTGCAAACAGAAGGGAGAAAAACAATGTAAGCAAAAAATATATACACGAGGACCAGCCAAATAGCTCAGCAGATTAAAGCACCTGCAAACAGGAGCAGGGGCCAAGGGTTCTATCCCTGGGTCTGCCATGCAGGCTCTACCCCTGGGGTATACTGAGATGGTGATTGAGACTGGGTACGGTGGTGCACGCCTGTAATCCCAGCACTTGGGAGGCTGTAAACAGGAGAATCACTGAGTCCGATCTAGTAGTGAGACCCTGAACAATCTGTAGACCCTTCCTTAAAATACAGGGAAAAAAAAAAAAAAAAAAAATATATATATATATATATACACACACACACACACACACACACACACACATTTGGAAATAGAGAGCATAAACATAAACACACACACACACACACAAACACATTTGGAGATAGAGAGGCTGGGCAACAGTAGTGGCTACAGGACAAACCCTGCCTCTAGCTCCTACTCCATACCCAGACAGTCTTCAAACACTTACAGAACACGACTGTTGCTTCTTCTGCTCACTTTGATGCTAAATGGCTGTTTGGAGACCTCAACTTGATAGTTCAAAGAAGTGGCAGCATTTCCATTGAAGGGCTGCACATGTTCGTGGGGGACTTCATATCTGTTTTTGGTTTGGTCAGTAAACTGCACAGAATAGAAAGAAAGCCAGGATGATAACTTTTCTATTTAAAAACACCAGTGTTTCCTGGTATCTGGGCTGATGCTATGAGAAATCAGACACAAATTGAACTGGCTTTACATCTAAGGAAATAACTTCCCACGTTACCTACTTCAAGTGTACCGCATTTGGGCATAAGTTAGTCTTTAGGGAGAGATATATACTATAATTCTGAAGAGAAGGATTATCCCTAGAAAATTCAAAGCCCTGGTAATTGTGCTTTTTCTCTTCTCTGTACATCTCACATGGTATCTTGGGCATATAAATGAAAGCTGAATCCTCATCAGTTAATTCTTTAATATATATCTAAGAAGTCACCATAGAAGGAAAATTATAGATTTCAATATATAAATGCTAAATAATGACAGTTTTCCATCAGCAAAACATTGTAATTGGCAGCAATTGTATCAGGTAGGGGACAAGAGCCCCTGAAAAAGATTTTTAAAACATACACAAAGTACAAACCTTGAAGTGAAAGCGGTTAGGTGTCTGGTATTCCGCTGTGAGAAGGACATTGTCAACATCATTTCCAAACAAGGATGAAGAAGGCAGACCTTTCAGCTGGGCTGTGAATCCTACATGAAGGGAAGAACAGCTTTTCATAGCTGGATCTGTAAACATCTGCATAAAAATTAAGCTTTGGGTTCAATCCCCAGAAACCTGCCCCCCCCACAAAAAAAATTAAGCTTCAGGTCAAAATAGACTAATGAAAAGCCTTTATTTGCACAAAAAAAAGAGAAGAAACAGAGAAATACATCATTATACTATCTTAGGCCAGATCCTCAAGCTATGCCTCTTTTTAAAATAAAACCTGATCGAAAATCCCCCCACCCGAGCCATGTGACTCATTCTACCAGCCTGTGGATCGCACTGTGTTAGCTGATGCCCTTCCAGTCTCATCCTCCATTTGAATGCTGACCTTCTTCTTCTTTTCATTTTTGAGACAAGGTCTCACTATGTATTCAAGCTAGACTTGAACTCACTTTGTAGCTATCCTACACTAGTCTCAAACTTAGTGGGACTGACCCTGCCCCCTCAGCCTCCCTGTGCTGGAATTGCAAGCCCGAGTCCCCACACCTGGCTGCCTTATTCTTTTTCAATTTTTTTCACACTACACTAGAGGTGATCACATGCACTGATGCCATCTTCCAAAATGGTAAAACAAGTAAGTCCATGGGGCCAAAAGCACCTGGAATGGGAAAACGCTTCCACCTTTGCACTAAGAGCCTCCCCTCATTGGTCACCTGACATGGCCCCCATAATGTTTACTGTGATGCTCTTCCTTTTAGGGTAAAAAGAAGACAAGGGGATGATCAGCCCATGAACAATGATGTTGATTAAATATATTCTTTAACAAGTTTATAAAATTAACGTGGTTTCCATTTCACAAAAATTACATCAGAATAGAATTAGAAATGATCTCAGAAGTTAATGAGTTCAAATCCCCCACTTTAGAAGTGGTAAAGTTGAGATCCAAACTGGTCCTGACCACTACGTAAGCTCACAAAGATGTGGAAGAGGAAGGCAGAGCTCTAACGTGATCTGGCATCCCTAGGCAGAGAGTGCTTGTCCCTTCATGTCCAAATAGGCTGTGGTCCTTGGCAAGAGCAGGGCCCACCCTCCGTAAACACTGTGGCTTGGGGCTGCAGAGCCTTCCCCTACGTGCCACCACCCTTCTCCTCCAGGGGACCCAGCCAGGCCCCAGAGGGTCTACAGCTCTACTTCCTGGCAGAGTCCGACTCACCTGCATTCGTGTTTAAAAGATCACCTTCCATTTGGTAGCCATGATTCATGGAATAGTAGCACCAAGGGACACTTATGGGTCCTTGAGGCTGCCAGCAGCAGCCTCGCTGGTCACATGTGGCCTGAAACAAGACATTAAACAAAGCAACTCTGATTAGCTGTGCAACATTACCTCTTATGGAGTATGAATCATCTAACTTGAGATTGTGCTATTAATAACCTTACATTACAAATAAAGGGACTGATCTTTAGGGAATTGTGTTATGTTCCAAACAGTGGCAGAGCTTCTATTCACATCCAATTTTTCTGGCCAGTGTCCTTCATACATCAGAAGCATAATGTGCTCCGTATCTTTCACCATAACAAAGCTGATAACTATATTTAAATATGTGAAGCCAGGTGTGGTGGGGTGTGCACCTGTAGTATCAACACCTGGAAAGATGAGGCAGAGGGACTGCTGTGAGCTCAAGGCCAGCCTGGACTATATAGTGAGTTCAAGACTAGCCTGGACTACATACGGACATCTTGTCTCAAAATAAATAAATAAAATATTCCAAACTATAAGCTGTATCCACATTAATGAAAAATTAGAGAGTTTTATTTATACTAACTTTGATTCTTAAAAACAAAAGACTTTACAATCAACTTTATTCAGAAGCTTTCATTTCGAACTGATTTATCTTTGATTTTTAAATACATATATATGTATGTGTATTAATACATGTATACATGTATAAATACATGTATATGTATACTATACATATAGTACTACATGTGTGACATATATACAGTCTCACAACTCCTCACAGGGTAGAAAGCAATCTTTCCTTAGAATTCAAATAGATTCTGGTTCTCACAGGAGAAAAGTGCCTATAATCTGGGGTGCAGTGGTGTGAATCTGTCATCAGAGTTACTCAGGAAGCTGAAGCAGAAAGATGGATTGAGTCCAGGAGTTCAAAATCAGCCTGAGCAACAGAGTGAGACCCTGTCTCAGTTGCTCATTTGGAGGGAGGAAGGGAGGAAAGAAGGAAGAGAGAAGAGGAAAAGGAGAGAAGGGGAGAAGGGGGGAAGGGTTGAGGGGGAGAGACGGAGAAAAGTAACAGGGGAAGGAAAGGGAAGTTAAAATTTCTTCCTTCTACCTCAATTACTGACATTTTCAGAAGGTGACAATGCCTTGAAAATCTCAAGGGAAAAAATTATTAGATGAATAAAGTGGCCAAAGCAGCAAGGAAAGTAAACAGCCTCTTTTGGTCAACTCCAAAAGTCCAGCTCCTGCTCGAGACTCCACCAATTCTGCGAAGCAAAAGTCAAAGCCGAGGAATAGCCATATGAGGAAAGAGTAAAAAGTGCATCAAATGAGGGAGGAGAAACAACTTTAGAAGAAAGCGATAAAAATGACAATGTGTACAGGACACAGGCACACAAGAAGTAGACCCAAGACATGAAATGCGACTAGAAGTTTGATGTGAGAATTAAAATTTAACAGGTATCAGCACAACAATGTAGAATGTGTAACTATCAGTACAGGTCTGAGGGGAAAACTGGGGGCGGGGCACCTGTGGTCCCACACGAAGGAAAGGACACCTGTTTATGAGAATACGGAGTAGCACGTAAATAACAGAACGCATGTAAAATGCCAGAGCTTACAAAGCATGTGATGCCAATTATCACCTGGTTTAAATACTTAAGAGGCAAGGACAGTCAAATTACATTTATAGAAATAAATCCAGATGAATGTTCCTGTAGGCATCACTCCAAAACTAAAGCTCACAAAAACAATGAAAATAAAAGGAAAAAGCAAATATGATTGAGATGCCAACTAAAAGCCAGCATTTATATCACACAAAGAAGCTTTTCATAGAAGCTTACTCTTAGGCACCAAGTTATAAGACATCCCACAGAATGATATCACACCTTCAACTTGAAACACATCTAACAAGAAAGACTCACAAGGTCAAATTGAAGGTGATAGTACATAATGAAATATTGTTAAGGAGCTCCCCTAAATAACCAATAGAGTACACAAAACATGTAAAAGTATTCTACCTTTTATATAATATATAGTCAGTCCTGTATCCACAAAGTTAGGGTTTGTGTCTAGATGTCCCCTAAAACCTCATGCAGTCATGGCATGGGCCTCTAGAATTTGTGATTGATTCACAGTTCAATGCTGGGATTATGGGTGTGAGTGCTACACCCTCCCTGGGGCAGGCAGCCTGCATGCAGTATAAGGGAGGGAACAAGGCGTGCACTCTGCTGCTCCCCTTTTGCTCTTGCCCTTTGCTGCTTTCTGCTGCCTTGAACTGCTGCCCTCTGCCATGCGCCACCCTGCCTTGGAGCCAGCTGAGCATGGACTGAAACTGCCACAAACTGTGCACTGAATAAACCTTTTCATCCTTAATTCTGGGTGTCAGGTATTTCATCTCAGCAACAAGAGAAAAATAACCAAGACACACAAATTACTCATCTAGAGATGTAACCAATAAGAGATCAGATATGTATTTTTTAATTGTATCCAAAAAATAAAAATAAAAACTGTATCTGTTGGGCTGGCAAGATAGCTCAGAGGACTAAGCACCTGCTTAGGCAAGCACTGTGGCCAGGGTCGGAGTCCACCACTGACCTCAACCCTGGACATACTGAGCTGGCCACTGAGACTGGCTATGTAGCACACATCTGTAGTCCCAGCACTGGGGAGGCTGAAAAGAAGAGGATCACTGCCCACTCAGAGCTGTGTAGTAGGACCCTGTGCCAAATAAGTAAAAAAAGAAAAAAATCCAGAAAAAGAAATATGAAAAAATTGTATTTAGGTAAAAAAGATAAACATCTCAATATAAAACTGAGGGAAAGAAAGAAAAGAAATTCACAGGAAAAAAAAAACCCTGAAAGGTACCTATCCTTATGAATCGTAAGAAAAATTAACAGTAAAACCACTATGGGATTCTATTTCATAACCTAAAGATAGTTAAGTTTACCCACTTAATTATCATTCAGGCAACACATCTGTTTACATATTGACTGTCCTGTCACTCTGGCAAATGTCATTTTAACCAGCCAATTCTTATATTGAATTAATGTAATAAAGTTGTCATTTTTCTATTTCCTGTTTTATTATCATAAAAAATAATGAAAAATATGTAATTTTTGATCATTCCTTGAATGTACAGAGAAGTTAAACTGTACTGACACTTTTATTTTCTTAAGGTAGATATTGGTTATCCATTCTCGGCTACCTGAAGTATTCATTAATAATGATTTCAAAGAAGTCAGTTATACTTGGAAAAAAGATCAAAACCAAGGTGACAGCAACAAAAAGTTTGCCATTTTGTCAGTCATCCCCCCCTTTACATAAGGACTCATCACCATGCAGCCCTGCCTGGCCTTGAGCTGAGGGTCACTCTTCTGCCTCAGCCTCCCAGGCGCTGGAGCTGAGGCATGTGTGCTCCTGTTTTCTCTGAGTGCCAATAGTATTACTTTCCAAGTTTCCACCTACTGGGTTATCTAGAGGACTGTACTAATATCGCCAAATCATATGAAAACATAAGCTAAAAACACTCCATATTTTTACAATACCTTGCAACCTAATAGAGAAGGGAAATATATAACCTTCTTTGAGTGTGTCTTTTGTGGCACACTCATCTTACTCTAGAATTTTAAAAATGTGGCCCTTGTCCCAATCACGTGAGAAATTTAGGAACACACCAAAGAGCCCCTGCAGGCCCTGTTGTCCTTCAGTGATGCTGTGACTCTTGGAGTATTATTCACTTTCCAGCCAATTCCAATACAGATCAACATACATTTCAATCAGGTCATAAACATAACACACATAACTACATTGCTCAAATCAATAATTAAATCAGAATTTCTGAGGTGATCCTAGGGAATAGCTATCAATAGCTAATAAAAGCTATGTGCATGATTTCCATGTGCAGCCAATGTTAAAATCCACTGTGCTAGAAAAATCACTACCATGACATCTACAATTTCCACTAAGAACAACAGAAAAGAAAAGCAATCAAGAAGTGGGCAAATGAAAATGGAAGCCATCTAATGAATAATCCTTGCATAATTTTTCTGTTATAGAAAAAATAAATAAATAAAAAAGGCTCCAGGACTCAGTTGTGCTGATTAGTGTTGTGGGTACAGCAGAAAAACAAAAGAAATTTAAAGCGATCAGTCACAGATTTTTTCTAACACATTTTTGTAGTAATTATTTGTGCCTTTTAGTTTAAAAAATAATTTTCAAATATTTTAATACAAAAGGATATATTGCCACGCTCTATACCCAAAGCATATGCCAACGGGAAACTCAGTTATCTACAAGAAAGGTATATCTTTTCATGAGTCACAAATAACTTATTGATCAATTACTGGTGTTTTGGGATGCATAAATCTTTAAGTCATTAGGAAGAAACAGAACTAAGAATTTTTTTAAAAATCAAGTCCACAGCAAGTGCAGAATTTAAAAAAGAAAAGGGCAAAATTGCAAGGACAGATGTGAACTCTCGCAGACCCAGTGGAAGTGGGTTGAGTGAGTTTGCAGCATTAGTCATCTCCTGCCACGTGAGGGGTAGGGGCAGCACTCTCTCATCTGCAGCAGACCAGCATTAATCTATGCTGTCTCCCACTTTCAGCGGCATACTAACTGGCTCCTCTACCTCTTGCAGATCAAGGGAAACTTAGAAACTGTACAAGTAAAAGAATTTAGGGCTGGCGAGATAGCTCAGGGGACTAAGCACCTGCTTAGGCAAGTGTAAGGACCGGGGTTCGATCCCCGGTACTGCATGGTGTGTAGCCCTGACCCCGGGCACCACAACGGGAGTGTGGTGTGGTAGACGCCTGTAATCCCAGTGCTGGGGAGGCTGAAAGCAGGAGGATCACTGCTGCGTAGTGAGACCCTATGCCAAATACATAAATTAAAGGGGGAGGCAGGAAAAGCAGGCATTTATATGAGCAAATGGCACTTTTTATTACAAAGTAGTAAAAATTCTTTTGGGGGTAAAAGTTCTGTTGGCAATCAAAACAAGGACTCATGTGCCAGGAGCTATGTGACCAGTAGATGACTAAGAGAAGAACGTACACACCAGTAAAAGTGTGCAGAAATCGGAGTCTGATAATCTCT